TAGACAGTTTAAAATTTCATTGGGGGCCACCCCAGGTAGTGCTTGGGGCTTACTCCTGGCTCTGCACTCAGGGATCACTCCTGTCGGGGCTCCAGGGACCACCTCAATTCTTATGATCAAAGCCAAGTTGACTGGGCACAAGACAAGCACCCAATCCCTTGTGCTATCTCTCCAGCTCCGCCCCCCCACCCCCCCCCCCACAAAATTTAAGATTTTTAAGGAAGCAAATGGGAGGTTTATAAAGCTATAGAAAACTTGCATCACAACCTTTTAAATCTCACTTCTAGGTTTCTACGGTCTCCTCCTCTTTGTTCCGCTGTGTCACCCCCTTTCAGAACTCACAGCTCACAGGTGAGAGGGCTGGACAGTGGTACAGGCTATGGTTGCTTTGGCCCATGTGCATGAGAGGCCCATAAAGAAGGATTCACCACGTAGCCCATCACTTTGCTCTCCTAAATCCTCTTTAGTCTGCTGGCTGTTGTTGCTCCTGATTTTTTTTTTTTTAATCCATACTAATGGACTTGCTTTGATTTTCCCTCCACCTGGTGAAAGATGGTTTCCTCAAAAAATTTATGGTTTGTCATTTACACAGATCAGCAGAGAATTATATTCTACTAACCCATTCTGGGGAGAAAGAATCCGATGGGATGATTAGGTTTGGCTTGCCCCTGGTGTGGGAGGAGTGGGTAAGTAAGTCCCAAAGAACTAGCAGGGACACTAGATTCATCAGTAAGGCTGGGCAACAGTATTTATATAAGATTTTGCCATTTGGGCAATTACTGAAAGGTGTTTATTGCATTAAATGTTAAATAACGTTTGGGTATTTTAAGTAAAAAGTAAGTAAAGACCCTCCCGTTGATCATCGATTTGCTCGAGCGGGCCCAGTAACGTCTCCATTGGAGACTTTGTTGTTACTGTGTCTGGCATATCGAATACTCTCGGTAGCTTGCCGGACTCTCTGAGAGGGGCGGAGGAATCGAACTCTGGTTGGCCATGTTGGCTGCGTGCAAGGCGAACGCCCTACCCGCTGTGCTATCGGCTCCAGCTCCAGAAATCGCTTCATTTATCATTTTTTTGATAAATGAGGAAGCTGAAGATAGGAGATACATAAATTATAAGCCTTTATTTTTTTCCTTAAAAATTCTCTGTTTAGCCCCAAGTAACTATAGGCAATATGTTAAACCTCTTGATGGCCCCAACTTGTATTGTTCTTTAAAACATTGTATTTCTTTGCTTTTACCACAGAAACTTTTTTGGATCAATTTCAGCGGATTATTTCTTACAAGGAATACAAAATAAATTATTTAGCATCTGATTTTGGGACAAACTGGGGTGGTGGTGTGAAAATTTGAAATAATGATGATGGGAAGGTATAAAGGTGGTGGACTTGATGTTGAAATATTGAGTGTAATAAATTATTGTGAACAACTTTATAATAGTAAAAAAATGGGGAAATGACCTGCTGTCTTTTCATCTTTCATCCTAAATGATAATAGTGTGCTTCAGTTTTTCAATTTAAATTCATGCTGGATGCAATATGAAACAGATACTTTTAATTACTGAGAAAAGGGACTGCTGGCCTGGTGACCTGAATTGCACTAATTGAAGAAAAAACACGGAAATGGTTTTTGAAAGTTTTTTTAGGCATCAGTTGAAAGAAAGAATACTTGAGATTAGGCATTTTAGAAATGAGTGGGCCAGGCTTGGTCAAGAAGGCCTCAAGTAGAGCACTAACTAAATGATGGTTGGAGGGATCACTCGGGATAGTAGATGCATGTTGAAAGTAGACTATGGACCAAACATGATGGCTGCTTGGTACCTGGATTGTAAACCATTAACACCCAAATCGACAGAGCGTAAGAGGGAATGTGCCTGGCACAGAGACAGGGAGTGGGAAGGGGTGGGGGTAGGGGGAAGGATACTGGAAACAGTGGGGGTGGAGAATGGGCACTGGTGGAGAGATGGGTACTTGAACATTGTTTGACTGAAACACAATCATGAAAGTCTGTAAGTTTGTAAATGTATCTCACGATGATTCATTAAAATAATTATATATATAATACACACACACACACATACACACACACACACACACACACACACACACACACATAAAGAAAGCCCCAAGTAGTTGAATTGATGGGAGTGTTGAGTTCTTGTTGGAAAGAATTAGATAGGATGGAAAATCTGTATTGTGAAGTGGGGGTGGTGGATCATGAGATGAGTAGCGTGTGACAGTGACAGCAGGCCTTAGGAAGATCACTCTTGATGTTGTATGGGAAGGGCTAGACAAGTAAGCAAGGAGAGGCAGAAAATTAGATGAGGAAAAACTGCATGAGTTGCTGATGGTCAGAATGGACAGGAAGTGGCAAACTCACGTTTCGCTGCATAGGTGTTGCAGAATTTGTGCCAAATATTTCTTAGTACAAAAGACAGACAAACATCTGGCCTAAGCCGAGGGAGGGTTGGTGTATATACACAACAATAACACAAAGCAGCCAGAAGCAAAGGAGTTCCCTGCAACTTGGGTGGAACTTGGAGTCTTCACGATAACTGAAATAAGGGAAATGGAGAAGGGTCTAATACTAGATGATCTTACTCATATGCAATATAGAGTGACAAAAGAAGGGATTAATGAGCAGTGGCAAAAAAATCTGGTCATGGAGTCCCAACCAGATTAGTAAGCAGTGGGGGGAATGAGGAGGTGGACTAGAAGCAAGATATGGGCATCATTGGAGGGTGTTGGGCACGTTGGTCGTGGTGAGGTGTGTGTGTACTTAACCCCTAATTTATCATGCCCTGTGTGCTGACCCCCTAATCCTGCAACTTCTTCACGAACCATCTGGGCGCGACTGTCTTCCTATTTTGGGTAGAAATGTGTCATTTTGGCATTAATCCATGGAAGAGGGCCTGAAACTGAAGCAATGGCCAAAGTGCCCACCAGGCAAGCCTGAGTTTGTGAGTTTGATCCTTGATGCCCCCACAAGTCCTGAGCCCCATCCTGGCTGTGCTGCTTGCTGGTTAGGACCCCACACACTGCAAGTGATTTTTAGCAAATGTGGCTGGTCAAATGTGTGGGAGTACTTCAGCCAAGAATCTACCCCTGCTTCCCCCGCTCTTCAGCTAGCCTGAGTGTGAACACAACTGGCGAACGCGTGTGTATACACGGTCGGGAAAGGAGTCCAGCCCCCGGGGAGCACCCTGATTAAAGGTGGGAGCACTGACACCTGATGTGTGTCTCCTGTGGAGCACCATAGCCAAATGTATGAGCAGCAGCTTCAGATGTGTGAGCGCTATGGTCAGGTGTCTGAGCATCACAGCTAAGCCCCCCCCCCCACCCCCCATCATAAACACCACCTCCACGGAGGAAAGGGTTGGGGAGCAGGAGGAGTAATTTGTGAGTGAAACCAGTGATTTGTAGATATCTTTATTTGTATAGCAATTTGAGAGTCTGTTCCATTTTACTAGCCTTTTGACCACAGATGCCTACAAACTTTATTAGCATCAGGGCCAAATCTGCAAATAATTGAGTCCCCACCATTGACTTGTTACTGAAGTAGAGGCGCAGTTCAATATTCTTCCTGACTATTGGGCAGTTTGGGTGATATATTAGTAGAGATAGTGCGTTTGTCATTATATTACTTCATAAGCAGGCTGACTAATACTCCAGAGGCCTCATAAATAAATTAAAGAGAATTGACCAGTCTATTAACATGTTTTATTCTATCCTAGTGAAATCTTTATTGTGCCCAAAGTGAAATAAATAAACTTCATTTACTGGCCACCCACGGCCACTGTCATTGGCAGTTTATATGTTCTTTCTGAGAGGAGGGACATCATGGAAAGACACAGGCTTTGGTGCCAACTCGAGCTGGGTGGAAACCATAGATTGTTACCCTGTAGTTAGGAGACATTTCATTTTCAATTAAGTTTTTGGTATTTTTGATTTTTGAGCTGCTTAAGGTTCCCAGTAGAAATGAGAATGAGGTACAGAGATTTCCTGTGCAGTCCTACCTTATGGACCGCTAGCTGTGTGAACTAGTTAATACCTGTGCTTCTGAGCTTGTTTTTCCTCTAAAATGCAGTTGTAAACCTGTTCCATTGACCTGGGGCAGGAACAGGATCAAGCTTTAAGACTTTAAGAGTGTTTTATGTCTGGTCAGTACACAGGAATGTGCAAATGCTTATGATAGAAACACAGTGACTTGGAAATATCAGGTGACATCATGTTCCAGGGACTGCATAAGTGGGGTTTGAGGCTGATGCTTCATGTAGTGTTCAGGCTTTCATTACTGTGTGAGAGTACCACATACATGCAGCAACCAAAAGTGCAGAAAGTCTCTGAAAAGCTTTTGTTTAGTCATGGATAGAGTTGCTTAGTACACCTAACAGACCACTTGATTATCTTAAAGTACCCAGTGTAGTGAGTAGAATAGAACTGAATTGTTGCACATGAAGTAATCCAATGGCGACTCCCAGGAACTGCTGTGATTTCTATTCTGTTCTGGGTCTGCATTTTTTCCCCTGTAATGGGGACTTCTTTTGTTCTGTTTTGGGACCACACCGGGTAGTGTTCAAGTCTTACTCCTGACCTTGAGCTCAGAATTACTCCTGGTGGATTCAGGGGACCATATGGGGTACCAGAGATCAAACCTGGGTCGGATATGTGGAAGATAGGTCTGTATCTCTGGGGTGGCCTGGGATACCACCCCCTGCCACCCTTCTATACCCCTTCCACACAGGCGCTCTGCTAGTGTGTTTGAAAATGTGTTTGCTCCCATGTTCAAATGCTCTTAGTTTCAGAAGTAGTAGAACAGATGACTTTCTCTCTATAAAGGAACCTTTCTTCAGATCTGCAGCTAGAGTATGAACAACAACTGGGACAATCCATGTCTGAACGTCAGGAAAAAGTTTTTAGAGTTAGATTTTTTGTTTTCCACTTGCTGTTCTTATGAGCACATCACCAGTGTGTGCATTAAACTCTTTATGTGATTGCACAGATGCTGTTGACCGAGTACTTGGACATGAAAAATACTCGTACCGCCTCTGAACCATCAACTCAGCTAAGTTACGCCAGCACTGGACGAGAATTTGCAGCCTTTTTTGCCAAGAAGAAACCTCAACGGCCCAAAAATTCTCTTTTCAAGTAAGTGTCTTCCTATTGTTGAGACAGAGGGTGTGGAGAAATGTTTGATCCAAGTTGAATGGCCTTTTGCTTCATTGAAAGCCGAATGATATGGAGATTATGTACATGTGTGTCTAATATACATCGGACATATGTATATTATAGATATATCCAATTTTATATACTTCTGTTTTATATAAGCAGAGATGACTGTTTTGGAACTTAACTGGACTACCTACAACTTTGAGTAAAATTTTCCAGAATTTGGTTTCTGGTGAGTTTTATGTAAAAATGAAGGAGAATGAAAATTTCCAGTTGTTCCTGGGGAATTTTATAAATGAAAGGAAATGAAATACTGCAGTCTTTGAAAATGCCCCAAGTGTCATGAAATAACCTTTGTTAATAAAGTTATGAAATCTCCCTGGCTGGATCATACTGGATTTTATTTGATTTAATAAAGAAACAATCTGGAAATTCTTCTTTTACTAATTACTGTCTTCATTAACCCTGGCAGGCCACAATGCCCTCAGTGTATGCCACTTGGTTGCTTCTAACCATATTAATGTTATTATTAAAATTGATAACAATAACAGTAATTATGAGTAATGGAGTACTTTTTAAGTACCGGAAACTGACTGAGGTAGAGGACCCTCTCAAACCAATCTCAAACATAGTCAATTCAGATCCTGTCAAATTTTAGTAGCAGCACTAGTTGCTAATACTTAACACTTGCGAGACATTAAGCCATCTCTGTGGGTGATCTCATTTACCTACTACAACACACTCATAAGTGAAGCTGTCAGTTTCACCCTCTTTCACATATTAAGAAAGTGAGACACAGACAGATTAAGGGACTTAACGTAAATTCCTGTATCTTCCGGTAGAAGAAGCCTAAAATCTTAGCCAGATCTTTGTGTTCTTTTGAAGATTTAAAAGTGATTGTAGAAGTTATACCTGAGAAGTTCAGCATATAAAGTAGCTACGGATGGATCATGGCACTATTTTGACTTCATTTGTTTTGAGTAGTTGAAGCTCTGGTGTCTTTCATTGATCTGCTTCTGAGATTTTTTTTTTTTTATCACGGGCTCCTGCAGTTCATAATCATTCAGTGGTTTCCACAGTTCCTTTATCTTGTGGTCTACAGAAGAGGTTTGCTGTGCCCTCACTGGAATAAGACCCATTGTGTTCAGTGTGTGTGATGGCTGCAGGGCACTCAATAAACAGTTAAGGCATTTAAGTCTGCGTGTAACACAGAGCTTCAAAAGAAGTAAATTCAGCTGTGCAAAGTTTTTCTCTCACAGCACTAAGGTGAATATTATTTTTATTTTCAGTTAGTAGATTTTATTTGTTTTTTGTTAGGTTTATTATTTGCTTTTGGTTTACACTCAGCTATGCTCAAGAGCTATTACTGGGTGCTGGAGTGATAGCACAGTGGGTAGGGTATTTGTTTACCTTGCACATGGTCAACCCAGGTTCAATCCCCAGTATCCCATATGGTCCTTCTAGCACAGGCAGGAATAATTCCTGAGTGCAGAGCCAGGAGTAACTCCTGAGCATCGCTGGGTGTAACTTCCCCCCCCCCCCCCAAAGCAAACAAACAAAAACAAAAAACAAAATGAAAACAAAAACCCCAAAGCTATCCTGGCTCTTTGCTCAGGAGTGATCATTGGCAGTGCTTTGGGAACCAACATCCGTACCAATATCGAAGGGTATCAGCTACCAGCAAGCATCCTACCTCCTGGCCTGTCTCTCCCATCCAGATTCTGGTTTTAGTCATAGTTTTAGTCTTTCAGAACAGCACAGCCTTGCCTAACTCCCCCCTTCTAAAGTTTCCCTTGTTATTGAAATCTTCCATTATGTGGTGCTAAACTAATCTTGAGTCACCATTATTAACTAAAACCCAGTAATCACAGGAGGATTCACTCTCCGAGTTGCTCAGTGCTGTGGGTTTTGGATTACCATCTGCTCGCCTCTATAGTATTGTGATAATGGTCTCATGGCCCTAAACGTTCTCATTTTTCATTCCACCTTCTTTGCTTTACCGCAAACGTCTGGCAGTCCCTGATCATTTGATTGTCTCTATGACTTGCTTTTTCCAGAATGCCTTTTACTGGGAGTCACGGTATCTAGAGTCCTTTCAGTTCTTTCACTCAGCAGCATGTGTAGAAGTTTCCTCCATGACTTTCTGAGCTTTCTTTGAATCTTTCTTTACACCCTCCCTCCCCCAGTAGTATTCCATGGTGAGGATGTACCAGAACTAGTTTTTTATAGCACAGCGGTAGGGCGTTCGCCTTACAAGCGGCCAACATGGCCGACCCGAGTTCGATTCCTCCTCGGAGAGCCCGGCAAGCTACCGAGAGTATTCGATATGCCAAACACAGTAACAACAAAGTCTCCAATGGAGATGTTACTGGGCCCGCTCGAGCAAATCGACGATCAATGGGAGGGCCTTTACCTTTTCCTTTACCTTAACTCTCAGAATACATCTTGATTCGTTCCAATGGCTAGCAGTTATGAATGAAGCTGTTATAAATATTCAGGTGGAGGTTTTGTCTAGATGTAGCTCATTTGGATAAATTCCTAGAAGTTTTTTTTACTGAATCATAGGGTAAGACCACGATTTGCTAGGCGCTGCCAAACTGCTTTCCAAAGTGACTCCACCCTCTTCTAAAAGTTAATAATTAGTTATTGATTATTCCCATGTCACTCTCTGCTGGTGAAGAGGCTACCTTGTGAGCTTTCCTGGGGGTCTCAGGTTGGGGTCTGTGCCTAAGCCAGTCTGTCACAAGGGAAAGCTGACTGATGTGATGGTCTCTGACCAGTCCAGGTTCAACTTGGGTATATAGACTAGGTGCTGTTCTCCCTGAGCCACGGGGCTGAGTGCAAAGAGAGGGGAGAGAGGAGGCAAGGAACAGCAGAGACTAGGACTGCCTGGCCAGAGCCTTCTGCACCCCCACCCCACCCCTGACTGCATTCTAAATCCAGACGTATTGCAGTAACTGCATTCTAAATCCAGACGTATTGCAGTAACTGCATTCTAAATCCAGACGTATTGCAGTAACTGCATTCTAAATCCAGACGTATTGCAGTAACTGCATTCTAAATTCAGATGTATTGCAGTAACTGCATTCTAAATCCAGATGTATTGCAGAAAGCAAATCGATTCCACGCTCGCCACCATCCCAACTTTCCGCCTCACACCACATACACGTTTTCCCAGCACTTATTGAATCCCGACATTGTGGCACTGGAGAAAATACGGAAATTGTTGGAAATGAATGTGGACACTTAACGAATGACACACCTTCATTATTGCATGGTAGGAAAAATCCAGGGACCCACTTTTCAACTTGGGCCTGCTGCTCCGATTTACCCCTTTTTTTTTCTTTTTGGGTCACACCTGGCGATGCACAGGGGTTACTCCTGGCTCTGCACTCAGGAATTACTCCTGGTGGTGCTCGGGGGACCATATAGGACGCTGGGAATCAAACCCGGGTCGGCCACGTGCAAGGCAAACGCCCTACCCGCTGTGTTATCGCTCCAGCCCCGATTTGCCCTTTTCTTGACCTGGTTCTCCTGTTAATGAACTGAGTGAGATGGAGCAGGTGTTGCTTCTTAGGGTGCCTCTGCCTCTTTGGCTGTAAAAGGAGGGGAGTCTGACTGGGGCGGGGCTCTTACTGTAAAGTGAGAGCAGTCTGTGACTTGTTGCAGACATCAAAAGCATTCTCCAAGTGGCAAAAACTAGATATCAGGTTATAAAGGATTACCGTTTCGGTGAGCCTGGACTCTTGTTTTATTAACACATCCATGAGGGACTTTATTGGTCTTGTTAATTGCCCGAAGCCAGGGCTAACATGTGTCGAAGCTCTCACTCCTCAATAATGGGTGCCTTAAGATTCTTTGCTCGAGTTTGTTGGTTTTTTTCCCCTTTTCTTTCTTATTTATTTATTTATTTATTTATTTTATTAGTGAAACACCATGAGGTACAGTTATAGACTTACAAGAGGTACAGTTATAGGCTACAGCTTTTTGTGCTTGGATTTCAGTTATACAGTGATCAAGTACCCATCCCTCCACCAGCGCCCATCCTCCACCACCACGGGTCCCAGCATCCCTCCCACCCCCCATCCCCCCGCCTCGTCCCACCCTGCCTCTGTGGCAGGGGCATTCCCTTTTGTTCTCTCTCTCTCTCTCTCTCTCTCTCTCTCTCTCTCTCTCTCTCTCTCTCTCTCTCTCTCTTTCTCCTTTTGGGTCCTGTGGTTTGCGAGAGAGGCATTGCGTGGCAATCATGTTTGGTCTATAGTCTACTTCTCCCAGCATGCTTCTCCCACCCTGGGAGGATCCTCCCAACACCCTTTATTTGGTGCTCCCTTCTCTATCTGAGCTTCCTTTTCTATTTCTATTTTCCCTTTTCTATTTCTAATCAGTTGCCCTCAGCGTGCTGCCACTGTGAGGGCCGCAGCTCCTTTTATTTTGCACGGGACGGGCAGGTGGTACATTTGAAGCATACTGCAACGTTTCCCCAACCTCCTGGCTATTAGTGGCCTCTTAGTTCCTGGCAGGATACAGGAAGAGGATCAAGTGGCCCATGTGATGCCCTCAGACTGAAAGTCCTCTTGGGATCCTTCCTGTCACAGGTGGGCTAGAGGAGGTGTCATTCAGAACATGATGGTGCTTCTTCCCCGCCCCGCCTCCCGGACACTGAAGCCTTCTCCCTGCTGTTCTTTCATCTTGGAGCTGCTGACTGCTTACTACCAGTCCTTCCTGGGAGGATTTCTCCTGTCCTTTGCTTGCTGTTTGGATTTGAAAAGCTCAGGCTTGAAAAGGAATTTCTCCGCACGTCAAAGGATTTGCTCCTTGCCTCCTCCCCAGCATTTTTCCTGTTTGTTTTCTCCCCAGAAAGCCTGCAGGTTTCTCCTAAGACAGTGGTTTTGTTTGTTTGTTTTCATGTTTTAAGAGGAGAGCCATCCCTTTAGCTTCTTTCCTCCCGTTCTTTACCATGTGGCCTCTGGAACCTTTTTTCTGGATTGTTAAAAACCAGCGCATTGAGCTTGGTGCTTTTATGGGCGTTGAGGTGGAAGGGGGCAGGTAAAAACTCAGGGGGCTTATGGGGGCTTTGGAGGAGATATTAAAGACCCCGGGCTTCCTTTGTGCCATTGTTTCACAGCGTGTCTAGCACGTTCTCTGTGCTGCTCCCCTCACCTTCCTGTGTTCTTTGTCTTAGCCCCTAACCCTTCACGCCCTGTGTGCTGACTCCCCCTAGTCCAGCACCCGCTTTGTACTGACCCTGCTCTCTGGCCCTTGCACCAGACGAGTGAGACAGGCAGGTTGTCTGCTCGGAGAGGCCAGTACATATGACTGCCACCTGGCAGTCGTGGATGGCCTTGGGGCCGCAGAGTTGCACAGGCAGATTAACTTTAGAAAACATTCTGTGTTTGGCAAAGGATCATGGTAGCCTGGAGCCACAAGCTCGGACACATCAGGCTGGTCCTCACTGATCCAGAACAGGAGGGGAAGTTCCTGAGGCTGTGGCCGAGCAGTTCGGCCAGGGATATTCGTACCTGGAGGTCAGGGTGGCTGGCCCTGGGACAGTTATAGATCCACCAGCATGACCTGTGATCAGAGCATCAGGGAGCATCACTGGAACTAGACTCTACCCGTCTCTGGAGTCCAGAGCTGGGTACCCCCCTGATGGCTGTCCTCTGTGTCTCACGGTAGGTTTGAGTCCTCGTCGCATGCCATCAGCATGAGCGCCTACTTGCGGGAGCAGCGGAGGGAACTGTACAGCCGGAGTGGAGAACTTCAAGGTGAGTGACCAAACTTCTCCGCAGGAGGAAACTGTTGCTCTGGAAAGATCCGAAGTGTTTGGAGTATGTAAATTTGTGATCTGCATTCGCACAGTTCTTCGATAACAGCAACAGACTGGGTATTCTCTTTCTCCTCTCACAGTCCCCCATCTGCCACCGAGCTGCTGAGGCCATGCCAGTGGCCAGGGAGTCTCTAGATCCACTGCTGTGCAAGCCGGAACTCATGGCCAGAAGAGACGAGGCGGGTCTCTTCTTGCTTCGAGATGGCAGGCTCGAGTCCAGGTGGAGCCTAAGGGCAGGGCATCCTCTGTCACCCGCTCCTGTCATGCTTCCCAGTTTTCAGTGCCTTCTGGAAAGTGGCAGGAATCCCTGATGTTTGCAAAAGGGCGGATTTAGCCTCTGTGATTATGTTAAGGGAAGGGTTACTTAGAGCTCTCTGTTCTAACCAGCATGACTTTGATACACAGGACACCTGATACTTGGTTGTGAAAGAACTGTAGTCTGGATAAGACAATATTTAGAAACTGAATTCTAAGCAAATGTCATTAAACTGAAAAATATCAAGCCCAGGTATTCATTTTTTTGTGACAAAAGATGGTGTTCCTGGTAAATGAAGTCAAATAAAAAAAAGAGTTTTGGAACCATTTGAAAGGGATGGAAGTTGGGTTCAGGGAGTAAAGGTCAAGACCTGAGGTCAGGTTGTGAAACTAAGGCTTGAGGTATTAGCAACTATATCAGGAGGTAAATGCTGATAGCCAAGGTGATTTGCAGGGCCAGAGTGGTAGTACAGGGTGGGGGGTGCTTGCCTTGCTTGTGCGTGACCCAGGTTCGATCCCTTGCATCCTCATATGATCCGCTGAGCCCACCTGGAGTAACCCCTGAGCACAGACAGGTGTGGCACAGAAACAAAAACAAAACTTAAGATGATTTACAGAAGATCTCTAGAGGAGTTAAAGGGAGGGAGTGTTTTTGTTTACATTGTTTTAGAAAGACGGTTTGTTTTCTCAGTGATGGATAGGAGATATTTTTGATGAATATTGATGAAACCTCCCTGCTGGTCCCCCTTCTTGTCCTTGCTTACACACATTCACACACACACATACGTACACATGTACACACTCACGTGCATATGCATGCAAACACACATACATACACATTCATGCACACTTACACAACATCATGTATACTCACTCTGCTCACTCTCAGCCCTTTGTGGGGTTGTGGCCTCAGCTGTCTGCTCACTTACATAAGATTCCCTTTATCTGCACCCTTTATACCATATTGTGGATTAAAACTTATTTTGCCTCTGCAATAAACTATAAATTCCATGCGGGCAATGCTATTCCCTTAGCTGTATCTGTCATTGGGCCTATACAACAAATTTTCCCTAAATCTTGGTTTCCTTAGTGATAGAACAAGTGAGGAGAATGGAAATTGGCCACAGGACAGAGAGATGACCTTTGAAAGGTGAAAAGCGCCCCAGCAGGTTTGGGGGCGGCTCATAGCCTTTATCGGATTCATAGGTTACCATCTTGAAATTTAAGGTGAGGAAGAAGCTGCACATACATAAACTCTTCCTCTTTGCAGTTATATCCAGCTTACTAAGTAGAAATGGTACCCTTGAACTGCCTGGCCTAGGACAACACTGCCATATTTAATAGAAAAATGTTTAAAAATCCCACTAAGTTGCAGAATAATTTTATTCTGTGAGAATGGATAATTGAAGAATCACTGCAGTCTCACTAGGAACTTTCTCTTCCTTTGGAAAGTTAATTGAAATGTTTAAGCAGTAGTTTATTTTACTTAGACATGCCCAGCAAAATAGGAAGATTTGTTTTGGTTACAAGGGAGGGAAGTAGTTAGCAAACATATTATGACATTCATGATCATTAAAGATGCTGAAAGTATGAAAAATACTTGCACCGCATGTTTGGTGAGAGAATAGGTCAACTGATCTTTTTTTTTTTTTCTTTAAGTAAAAGTTTGGTATGTTTCATTTGAAAATGCAGTACCATTGTTTTTCTTCCAAAATTTTCATTCGGGGAATTTTACTTCATTCATTTCTCTAATTTTGTTTTATTCTTTTCTCTGATGAAGGATTTTAACCTTTCAGTGGAAGGAAGGAAGGAAACTACAGCTACTTTTTTTTTTTTATGAAAAAGGGTCTTCCCTTTTCAGCCTTTTCATCTGATAATCCAAGGACCAAGTGAAAACTTCATTTCTGCTTAACCTTGTAAAGGAATAATTGATCATTGAGTCAATCTGAAGAGGCTGGCAGAGAACTTTTGTCTCTTAATTCTATATAGCTGCAGTCTTGGTTTCCCCAATGGTTGGTTGGCTTCAGAAGATCAACTTCTGGGGCAGGGAAGAAGTAAAGAAATTTCACCAGAAAGACCATTAAAGTTCTCTTTAAAAAAAAAAGTGAACTTAAGCTGCCTACACAATATTTTGACATGCAATTAAAAATATTACTCAGCCTAAGAACACGCAAGAGAAATATAAGAGAATAAAAACCGATATGTCTTGGGGCCAGAGAGGTAGTCCAGTGGGTAGGGTGCTTGCCTTGCATGCCACAGTTCTGGGTTAGATTCCCAGATCCCTGTGTCTGCCAGGAGTGATCCCTGAGCACAGAGCCAGGAATAAACCCTGAGCTGCATGTGGCCCCAAACCCAACCCAACTGAACAAGACGAAAACATGAGATGTCTTTGGTATTATCCACCCATCTCACTGGGCTCTTGTTCTGGTATAGATGGTTCATTCCTTAGTCAGCTGTTGGCATTTGGGCCAAGGAAGTGGGATGGTCTTTCCAAGTATGTGGTGATAAACAGGTAGAAATCTAACTTGCATCTCTGCCTACATTAACTATAGAGTTCCTATGGTTTTGAACCACTCTCTGCCTTTGTTGTACTGCTTATCTAATTCGCCCTGGAAGCTGGGGGCGGTGTTGCTTCTAACGCTTTGCTTGACCGTCACTTCTCAAGTTTGATATGTGTTACCTCTGAAGAATAAGGTAAAGGTAAAGGTAAAGACCCTCCTGTTGTTCATCGATTTGCTTGAGCGGGCCCAGTAACGTCTCCATTGGAGACTTTGTTGTTACTGTGTTAGGCATATTGAATACGCCACGGGGAGCTTGCCAGGCTCTGCCGTGCGGGCAAGATACTCTCGGTAGCTTGCCAGGCTCTCCAAGCGGGGTGGAGGAATCGAACTCAGGTCGGCCATGTTGGCTGCGTGCAAGGCAAACGCCCTAACGTGCTATCGCTCCTCCGAAGAATAAGATAACTAATGAATGACTTTCTGAGCTTTCCTCAGCATTATTGTTCATGTGCACATATTTTATTAACTCGGTAATTTCCTACACTTCCCCTGGAAGGTCAAGATTTGCAGGCTTCATTCATTCCAGGTGCATTCCAGGTGCCTGCACGAATGTTGGACTTGAACCAGGCTCTTAAAGAATTGGTGAGAAAGACTCCTGTCCTGAGTATTGTCTCTGATGCTCAGGTCTTCTTGTTTGAGAAGCACTCACAGGAGAGCAGCCATCCTGTGATTTGTCTTTGCTCATTTTTTTACTCATTCTCACTCATGAATGGGTGAGAGTATGTTGTCATTGATCCAAGCAGAAATGTATATTCAGTTTCCATTACAGTTTCTTTTTCTGTCTTGGGGCTACATTGTACTTCTGTTTATACTCAATAATATTACCGTTAGAGTGCTATTTTTATTCCCATTAGTTTAATGAGTGGCATTTCCATAGCTCTGACATTAAAATATTCTGTAAAGCTCCAACCACTTGAGAATTGACTTCTCTAAGAGAATTTGCTTTACATAGTAAATATGGAAGGATTGGCACCAGAGACACTAGGCGCTTACATTGACCTGACCTGAGCTTTCTGAACGTTTCTCTCTAATGGGTTGTTGGTCACTGGGGTTGTGAATACTTAATGATCGTGTATGTAATTAATGTTCTTGGAGGTGACTTGCCTTAAGGTAAAGCAGTGTTTGAAGTAGATTAACAGTTGAGTTGATTATCCTTTTTATGAAGAATTTATAGCAAATCTGTTCAATAGTAAGCTTTTCTGTAATGGCTCAGTAAAAGTAGGATTCTGTTTGTGCACACATTTTGGGGGACATGTTGACAGTAGTGAGCTGCATTATTTAATATCTCACTGAGCTTGTTTATTTGGTTTACATAGAGCAGTTTCATACTCCTGCCACATATTTGTTTTATAGTTTTAAATGCAAAAATCACTTATACCCTGAAAACTGTTTAAAATTTTTTATAACCATTTAAAGTTTGCATAATGACTTGTTAATAATTTTGTTATGATATGCAGAGGATATAAAACGGTATATATTTTTCCTTCTTTCAAGTACATATAATTATTTTTAAATAACCTTAATCTTTTATAGTTATGTCTTCTGTTTAAGGTTCTAGAATAATGTTTCAAAGTTGCTTCCTCTTCTTTCAATATGCTTAAGTTTCTGCTTTTAAAGAAGATTGAACCTACTTTTGAGTGTAAGCTTTGCCTTATGATTACATCCTAATAGAATTTTTGTGCATGCTAATTTCTTTATCTTTTCTTTAACTGCAACTGAATAATAAATTTGCTTTCCTTCGGTCATGAACAGGCTAATGCATTATTTAAAATCATTTAGGTAATGAGGATATTCTTTTGCCAAGATTGTTAGAATGCACCATATCTTTGTCTTCATTGGTGTTCTTGTTTTGTGGACTGAATTCACTTTAAATGGGTTCATTTTTCTGAATTGTTCCATTTTGCTCAGCTTCATCTCTTCCTTGAGAACATGCCAGTGGTAACTGAGCCATGTGGAAGAGGCTGGTAGGCTTGAGGCGGTAGATACTGGTTGGTCTGGGCACCTGGTCCCTCTCTGATGCATAACTTCACACTACACTCAAGCCTGAGCATCTCCTGAGAAAGGGTCCCGATCATCATGCAAATGGTGACTCACAGCCTCTTAAAAAATTTAGTTCTACTTATTC